CCTCTTTATCCCTCCCCACTTCAAAGTTAAAGGAATTATAGTTTATTTTACACTCCTTCTGTGAACTACTTAGTACAGTCAAATTACCTCGCAGTACTGCTGATGGTAACATATGGAATAGCAATCTATGGACAATGGATCCCCTTCTATTTATGTCAGGCTAAAACTGGGTTCTACAGGTTTAGAGCTCATCTGCCATATGTTTGAAAATAAGTCAGATGAACTGAAAAAAGTTGGACAGAGTTAGGGTTCAAGAACACAGGAATAGCCATACTGGGTCAGAACAAAAGTCCTCCTGCTCAGTACCCTGTCTTCCGAAAGTGGCCAATGCCAGGTGCCCCAGAGGGATTGAACAGAAAAGGTAAACATCAAGTGATCCATCTCCTCTAGCTCCCTCTCAGTTTTTGCAAACAGAGGCTAAGGATACCATCTCTGCCCATCCTGACTCAAAGCTATTGATGGATCAGTCCTTCATGAATTTATCTAGTTTTTAGTTTTCTTCTTTCCTTCTCTTTCCCAAAGTTTTCTATTCTGTTCAGTTCTTCAAGCACAGATGCTGCTACTGGATTCAAGAATCCCTGAACATAGTTAATTTAGTATCTCCTCTCATTTACAAAAGACTTAATATTAATAACAAGGAGTCCTGCGGCACCTTAAAAACTAACAAATATAATTGGGCATAAACTTTCATGGGCTGGAACCCACTTCATCAGATGTATGCAGTGGAAATTTCAGTTTGGCGGGTATATATGTGCAAAGATGAGTGTGTTACATTACTATGCGGAGGACAATTGCTAATGAGGTCAATTCAATCAAGGTGGATATGGCCAATTCCCAACAGTTGATGAGAAGGTGAGAATACCAAAAGAGAGAAAATTACTTCAGTTTCGGATCTCAGCCAGAATGAAGAAGTGTGCATAAGAGCCTGAAAATTAAACATAAAGTAGTGGAAAAGAGCAGTTATTTGAATTTATTTTAAACCTCAAAGTTTTAATTTGCATTTTAGGTTGGTTCTTTTTCAGATAATTTAAGGATATATAAATATAGGTACATCTCATACTTCTTGATGGCATCATTATAAACCACAAGAGCAAAGTAAGAGTGGTCTGTGAGGCATCCAGAACATTAAGATGCATTTATAACTTTGTGTATAATTTAGTTTTTTCTTTACTGTACATAAATATGCCGTAGATGAGCATTAGTGGGTATGAAGAGGGGTTATTACACATTTCCAGCTTCTTTCTGTTCCAGACCTGGCATTGAGATGAAGAGGTGGTTTTTATGCAAGAAATAAGTACCAGTGAATTACGGAATTATAAATACATTGAAGGTTTCTACTAATGACATAATAAGTCACAATTTGAAGCTCAAGAGATTAGTAATGGCACAGGCTTCTTCTCTCCTTCCTCCAGTATTCATAATGTCAGCCACAGTTTATTTCTTGTTTCACTATAATTTAATGGTTAAAAAATCCAAGTATTCATGCAACATTAAAGCTGAAAAACGATGCACTGAAAGTTCAGGTTGATCTTCCAAAGTTAATTTGGCCACTTTACACAGCTGGCATTTTTATTTTCTATGCTACTAATAAGGAATATTATATTAAAGTTATATAGAGAGTTATAATAAAGATAAAAAGAAAATATTACCTTTTTGGTCTGTAGTTTAGTTTATACAGCAGGATGGGGGCAACCTCATTTTTGTAACGTGTTCAATAGTGAAAGTTAGATTTCTTCAACCTTAATGTTCCACCTAATGCTATTTTTACATTTAATATGCCTTTTTAGAATAATACATAAGCCTTGACCTATTTGGCTTTGGGATCCCATATGTTTCGCCAGCGGAACGTGTAATTAGAGCTGAATGAATTTTTTTTTTGTGGCAAACAGTAAATGTGCCATGAGAGTTGCATTTTTCAGGGGCTCCAAACTATTTGCAAAGTCAGGTCACATTCAGCAAATACTTTTGGCTAAAAAAAATTGAAAACAAACATTTCTCAAATGTCAACATAAACCATTTTGACACTTTTGTTTTTCAAATAAACATTTCCTTTGGCAATATAATTTATGCTGATTTAAATCAAGATTTGAAATGTTTTGTTCAATTTTTTTGTTTTGATTAAAAAAAATGTAAATGTTTCTGTTTAGTTGAGGCAACCCCTTTTCCTCTTCCTTGTTTGGTCTGGTAAAGCCACCAAGCCAAAACAATCAATTATTTGCCCATCTCTACATGAAAGTGTATTGGTTTTGTGACTATGCTAAAGATTCCTTATCACATCAGCTCTCTTATCCATAGACAAGTGTCCTGGTGACTGTACTAGAGCTGACCATACTACACACATTCTTTAATGATTATTTTGTTCACAAATTCATACACGAGTCCAACTGTGATTTCACCTCCTGTAAAACGCAGACCACAGGACTTCTCTAAATTAATTCCTGTTTGAACTAGAGTATACTAGAAACATTAGAAACATTCAATCTCAATTTCAAATAGAAAATCCACTAGAACCCTTGGTATACTATGCTAATGGCTAATTACCATCTCTGTTAAAAATGCATGCCTTAGGTCCAGTTTGAACTTGTATAGCTTCAACGTCAAGCCATCAGGCATTACTATGACTTTATCTACTATACTGAAGAGATCTCTATCATCAAATTTCTGATTCCTAGGTAGTCATTTAGGCCATGTCTATACTAGAAGGCTACGTCTACACTGGCATGATTTTCCGGAAATGCTTTTAACGGAAAAGTTTTCCGTTAAAAGCATTTTCGAAAAAGCGCATCTAGATTGGCAGGACGCTTTTCCGGAAAAGCACTTTTTCTGGAAAAGCGTCCGTGGCCAATCTAGACACGCTTTTCCGCAAAAAAGCCCCGATCGTCATTTTCGCGATCGGGTTTTTTTTGCGGAAAACACTACCGTGCTGTCTACACTGGCCCTTTTCCGGAACAGTTTTCCGGAAAAAGACTTTTGTCCGAACAGGAGCAGCATAGTTTTTCCAGAAAAGCACTGATGATTTTACATTAGATCGTCAGTGTTTTTCCGGAAATTCAAGGGGCCAGTGTAGACAGCTGGCAAGTTTTTCCGGAAAAGCAGCTGATTTTCCGGAATAACTTGCCAGTGTAGACACAGCCGAAGATTATTTTGAATTTACTAAGTTCGACTTCTGGGCACCCAATTTTACAAATTCGAAATTCCATGTCTTCACTTGGGGGAAGAATTGAATGTAGTCCGAGGCAGGCTCCATTAATATGGATGCACCACGTTGGACTTAGAGCACCAGAAAACACTCTGAGGAGCAATGGGAGGCCTCCCAGAGGCCTATTAATTTGAATTAGTGGCACTGGAGCATCTACACTAACATTATTTCTGACTTCTGAGTTCAGGAATAGCATTATTGCACATGAAAAGCAGGACTATGGAGTTTGAATTCCACAGCCCCTTATTTCGGAATTACGGGCTTGGTAGCGTGGAAGCATCGCTTACAAACTCGACCTTGGGAGGGTTATTTTGGACTAAGATCCTAGTGTACACCAGGCCTTATACGCTGTTATTAAGTTAATAGACAGATTGCTTGCAGGACCGTACGTGGGGTGTGTGAAAGGTGTGAACACA